TCAAAATAAAAACATATGTTTGATATTATGATCAACATTTTATCAGTGAACAAGTATTTGATATCTTTTTACAGGAAATAAGATACATAAACTCAAAGTTTTCGGTTTGGCTGGCACTTTATTAGAGTGTTTACGGTAAATACAAAGATTTTCGGTTTTTCTTTCCGTTGCCAAATCTTTCAAATCTCAAGACAAAAAATTCTATGAAGTTCTTCTCTCTTTCTCTCTTCATTCAAAAATTCAAATTCCTCAGAAAATTTATGTTCCTGTTCACAAGGAAAATCTCTTTGTTCGGGTGCACCATCGCCCATTTTCAAGTTCACCACTCTTTCATTTTAACCCCTCTCAATCAAGGTCGCTTCTTCCCTCTCCAACCTAAAAACCTATTCCGTCACACCGTGCAGTCACCCAGAATTTTTTTATCAAGTTCCATATCAATAAGTGCTCCAAAAAATAGCGGAGCAACAAGACCTTGAGTCCCATGATCATACGTCTGAAACTTGATAATCACAATAGTGATAAGAGAAGGAGGGTGAAGTACAAAGTGCGTTGAGGTGTGTAAACTCTTTATGACATGGCAAAAAAACAATGAAACAGTTCATGAGATGTATGGTATAGCTAATTTACAGTAGCTGAAAAAAGCCTGGGTAAGTGTAAAATGAAACCAGAAGATTATCTCCTTCCCAGTCAACTTTCCCCGTTTTTTTGTAGTTCGTTTTTTTATTCACCACCAAAACCACTACACCAAAAACTGGACGATGCTTTTGGGTCCAGGTGTAAGAGTGTTTCTCTGTATGTATGTATTCCTGTCCTTTTTGACTAGTGAAGGAGAGAGAGAGAGAGGTGGAAGTGAAGAAGATTGCGCCTGGAATCGTGCCAACTCGTTTGACTGGTATCTCCCCCCACGCCTTCTCACTCGATGACGACGACCGGACTGTCTTCTATTCGATGGCAACTTCTCTGTGAGGGATATATGAGGATCGAGGTGGTGGAGAGAGTGTGAAGATCAGCGGAGACAAAGTGATCTGACTGGACAGCTAGCCAGCTACTCTACGATTTGCAAAATGAAAAGAGAAAATGAAAGGAGAAGTGGAAGAAGAAGAAGAAGAAGAAGTGACTGGATTTCATAAAGAAGAATATCTGAAGCTTGTATCCTCTGACAGTCTAAGTCTCTCGAACTCTCACTCTCTTGAAGACGTTTTTAGTGAAGAGTCGTTCTTTGGAAGAAGAGGACAACATACTTTATGATGTTGATCATCAAGGCGTTTGGATTTACACCTCGGCTTTTTAAAATCCTTTTCTTTTTCTTGTTTTTTAAGATGCCGAAGTTTTGTACTTTTGTTGATTGGAATTCTGTTGTTAGAGTTTAACCTCACCGAGTTATGTGGTTCCAAATGCCGTAAAACTTGTATCAGAAGGGCTCCTCTAATAGTAGTCCCCCCCCCTGTAATAGAACGGTCCTCTTCAAAATGTGTTATGTTGTTTGAAATTTAAAATGTCCGTACTTTTTCAGTGAAAAATATTCCGAAACTTCCGTTTTCTGCTCAAAAACTTGCTGAATTTTGATAACATGTATGGGTTTTCACAATTTTTTTTTGATAAAAGTTTTCAAAAAAAATACAGGAAAAATAAAAGGGACCCCTGTAACTGAAGGGCCCCTCTAATATAAGGGCCCTTCGGAGAAACCTTGGAACAACAGTAGGGCCGGCTCCTCTAATACATGTTTTACGGTAAGTACTAGTTTAGGTCCCTGTAGAATTCCGAGAGTTTAAGTTTCTGTGTCCACTCCAGTTGATTGATTTCGAGATTGAGAATAACTTCTCTTGACAGTCCGGACAACTAGTTTCCTTATCTTCTACAAAACGGTAACCTCAGACAGTTTCTCAAATTGTTTTCTGAACTTCCAAAACATTCTTCAGAATTCTTCACATCACACCATAACCTACTTTTATCATTTTGAAACCATTTGCCTTCTGCCACTATCTACAGTATTTCAAAAGGTCAGATTCAATTACTCGATATCCCATTTCTCTCTGCTTCTCCTATTCCCATCTACTCTATCCATTTCGGCCACGGCCACGGCCTCTCCTCTTCTTCTTCCTTGTTTCCTTCTATACTTCTTCAATTCTCTCTCCGTTCACAAATTTCGATCAACCGGTTTTACCCCCAAGCAAGGTTGCGCAATCGGACCGCCTCTGCTAGGGGTGAGAAAAGAAAATGGAGGTTATGTGTCGTCTGCACTTTGCATCTATCTAGGAGGGTATAGTAGTAGTAGTAGAACACATTTTGCTCCGACGAGGATCTAGTATTTCTGCAGCGGCGCGTTTCTAAAAATATTCCTATCTGGTGCAATTTATAGACTGGCAGTAAACTTTCTCGCGGCGGAGCTCTTTTCTCTATTTTCTCTTCTTCAGGTCTACCTTGGTAACCAGTTACCAGTTTCTTGTTTGTGTACCGCCCGCGTGCCTCCCCTCCCCATAGTCCTCACCCAATCGACCCCTACTCTCTCAAAATTTTTTTGTTGCCACGGGTTTTATTTGAGTCTTCTCTCGAGTCTGTTATTTAGGGATCTTGGATTCCGAAATTATCAATTGTTCTATCTCTGCTCTTTTCTGCAATTATCTTCCTTATATATAAAACGCTACACGCCTCTGTTAGTCCACCTGTCAGTCAGTGGATTATTAAAACCCTTTAAGAAAGTTAGGAGCGGAGCGATCAAAAAACTAGATCAAACCGCTCCGAAGACGCACCAACTAGCTGATCTAACAGATCTTCAAAGATTTGTAAATCTCCTTGTTTTTACTTTTCCCGAAAATCCAGGGGTCTCAAGATCTTGGATTTCTTGTTTTGTTTTCTAAAAGTAGAAATTGTTGTTGTTTTCCTCTTGCTTGCAAAGTTCTATGAAACTTTGTGTATGTGAACAAGTGTTTCTATTTGCATATGAAAATCCAGATCAAGCTTTTTTCCCCACCAGGTTCAAGAGTCTGAGAAATGAACCACTCATTTACACACATGCTCTCTTTTCGTAAAGCATACATTGCGCAGAGCCTCGAAACGCAAACTTCCTAACTCTAATAAAACTTTCACAGGCGCCAAGAATAACCTTACCTTCTATTCTGTGTCTCTCCGGCTCTCGACACTCTCCATTTTTCGTTTTTTTTGTTTCCACGTGTCAATATTAGCTGAGCCCAAAAGAAAGTGAGAGGGGAACTAAAACAAGACATTAGATAGCAAGAGAGTTTCTATATTTTATATATTTACTGGTTGTTTGAAAAAAAGTTAAAGTTCAACCTTATCCAGTATGTTTGCCTCCTACTTATGTTGAACCCCGTGCCTTTTTTCTTCTTCTCATTTTTTCTCTCCTATACCATCAAGGTCAATCTCCCTCATCTTTTTTCCGCGTGAGGATCTTCCGCTCCCGACTGTCCGACCTCTGCGCGTCTTCTCAAATCCCATTCATTCCCTTCGGGCCGTTCAAAGAAGACCTTCAGTCAATTTCTGTAGTAGTCCTTCTCCCTGAATACTAGGTCACTTCAATCTTTTCTTTTTTTATGTCGTTCTTCTGAGAAACGGTCGTTTGATGTGTCTTCTTGGTCAAAGTATCATCGAATTTTTAAACTCCCCTGAATCATCATTTCTTTGATAAACAAAATTTTGCAAGCGTAGAGCAAGAAGGTAACATTCCTATGAATTTAGCATATTTAGCATATCTATTGTGTATGTGTGCATTTTCTCAAATTTGCATATCTTCTGCCATCCTTTGAATTTTCTTTCATCACCATTGTTATGCAACGAAACACCTCCCATTTCTTCCAGAATCTTTTCCAGAATAATCTCTTCTTCTCAATCATCACTTTTTGTTGTTATCAGTTTTCTATTTCACCAGCTCTTGTGAACCATGCACCAATAAATATTTGCCGGCACGGCCTAATGGCCTTATCGGATAGAAGAGAGGGGTTTCTTACTCTCATGACTCGTCTCCTCGAGACTTTCACTTTTACCTATGGAATCACAATCATCACAATTCTACTTTGGTCTTCGTACCTCTCTTATCAGTGAAGGAAGAAAAGGGCTTTCCGTGAAATGGGCGGGGATGAGACCTTTGGTACCTAGGATTTTGGAACGTCAGTAAAGGACAAAGTTCCAAAAAGCATAGGATCAGAATTTTAGAATCAATGCTTACTGTTCAGAAATTTATTATTGGATTGACATATTCACAGTGTCTTGAAGTCTAGTTTGAACTTCTAGGAAAAAAGAGATCCTAACAGTAAACAGCCCTCAAAAGCCATTTGCATTTTTTGAGGAGCGAGTAAAAAATTCTCTACCAATTTTGTCCCATCCGTCCCTTCCATTTCAATTCTTTCGATTTGAGATGCAGATCCGATGCAAATGAAATGCACTCCCTCAATACGTCTTCTGGAATATGAATGAGGCACAAAAAGAGGGAGAAAATGGACTGGGACCCCCACCACCTCCTTCTCCTTCAAAATTTGTCTTACCACCAATCCCATACACAACTATAGTGAAAACACAATATGCTCCGTTAGGTCTATGCGTCACGTCCCTTACCGTCTCCTTCTATTCGTCGATTATTCATAGAGTTGGTTCGTCATCCAGTATTACACACCCCCCCCCTTTCTGTAATGGTTCGTAGCGCTCATTCAAAAAATTTTTGTTTGGCAGCTAATTTTTGTTTGTGAGTCCCAACATTTCTCCATGAAACTCTCGGAGCAAAAACGTTCTGTTATCAGCTGCCGGCGGCATTTCCCTCTCTGTTTTTATCAGTGAGGCAAAGAGGCCAGCCGTGCCTAGTTTTTTTCAACCCCATCCTCAACCTCGACCCTATTCGTCTTCCTCTCCCCTCCGCCAGGAATCTCTCTTATCTTTAGAATTCACCTCTCTCTCTTCCCGGGGTGTTTCGCCTGCGAACTTAAAACGCGCCATTCTCCGATCATCATTCGTTGTCCATCATCATCTCCTAAATTATGCCTCTCTCCGAAATGAGCACGTTCGCCCAGTCGGCTGCTCTTCTTCAGGCATCCATGCCTGTTTCTCCAACGCCTCCTATTTCTGTAATCAGCTCAAACAACAATAACAACGACGCTAGCTCCATTGACTACAACTCTCTATCTCTCCAGATGCTCGCGGCTCCTAACGCCGTCTCGCTAGCCGCTGCCAACGGAGCCGTCTCACTTCTTACCCCAACTCCTGCTGGAATCAAAGCAACCATTGCATCAGCCGACAAAGTGCCAAGGCAACAATGCTATCTCTGTGATCTACCACGCTGGCCGTGGGCAATTATCAACGAATACATTGAACCAGTCTGCAGAGGATGTGTTAATTATGAAGGTTCTGATAGGTCAGTTTTATTTTCTTCAATTTCAATTTAATTCCAAACATTTCACAATTTCGCACAGGTCACAAGTTTAGTTGACCAAGAAAAAAAGTGACACCTATTTGATAAGAAACCTTTTCACTTTCTCTCTTATTTCAGAATAGAACTTGTCCTCGAGGAAGCACGTCAACAGAAGAAACTACAAGGGGTTTCAATCACTGATCCCACAAATGCAAAAACTTCTCATCAAGTCCCTCTACAAGCACCCCTTCAAACAACTCCAATCCCAAATCAGAATGGTGTCGGAAGGATAAGTCCTCAAAGAACGACGACTCAGCCCGCGCCACCGGCACTTCCAACGTCTCCATTCCAAATGCCAAATATGAATAACTTGGAACAGGCGTTGGCTCATCAGAGACTTCTCCAGATGACTCAATCCAATCCACGTGCTGTTGATGATCTCATCCAACAGTCTCTCAGAAATCTCGGAGCTCATAACTCTCATCTTCTGGCTCCGTTTATGATGAGCATGATGCCTAGTACTACAACTCCTTATGCAAATCCAAGAAAACGGGAATCCGATGAGGAACAGAAGCCTGAAATCTACGGAAAAGTTCAAAGAGGTAAGTTTTGAGATTCGAGGTTAGGAATTACTAAAAAAGTTGATATCGTGTCCCCCAAAAAAGGAGAGTAAACCGGTTATTGCGTAAAGTAGTGGTGCCCCCTTCATCCTCTCCGATTCTCCTACGATTACCCCGGTGTCTCTCTCGAATTGCGTAACGCCGACCGATTGAGAGAGACCCAACCTCAACAAAAACCAGCCGAATTTAGAAGAATTAGAAAAAGAAAAAAAGAAGAAGAGAGTAGAATGAGTGACCTCGAGAGAAATAAAAGGCTAGATATGGGGTCAACATTGAGTGAAAAAAGTGGAACCGGTTTTTGAATAAATGGTAGTGTAGTAGTGTCTATGGCGGCGCCTGGTACCCCAGGGTCATCATCCCTCATCATCATCTACTTCGTTTCCAGGAGATGCCCAAACTACAACGGCCTCGCCAACCTCCACCCACTCCCCCGAACACCCGGGACTCAAGGATCGCAGAGCCATCGCCCCAATCGAGAGAATTTTGAGATGCACCATCTGCAATGAACGTCTCGAAGACACACACTTTGTACAATGTCCAAGTGTCAACATGCATAAGTTCTGCTTCCCGTGCTCGCGGAGCAGTATTAAGGATCAATGCAGAAGTACTGATATGTACTGCCCATCGGGAGACAAGTGTCCATTAGTTGGGTCAGCTATGCCATGGGCTTTCATGCAGGGAGAGATTGCTCAGATTCTTGGAGACGAGTATGAAGACTTCAAGAAGACGCGAGAGGCTCATGGACTTGCTCCACCAATGGGAGCCAATTCAGCCACCCTTGCCGCCGCCGCTGCCGCACAGGTTGGTTATTTTGAATGTTTGCTCTTAAAAAACCATGCTACTAATCATGTGTGATGTGTGAAACTATTTTTGTATTTTTGTTATTGTGCATGTCATTTGTACTTCTTGATCTATCACTTGCACTTTCTTCATTGGTTTCAGTTGAGGCGAAGACAGCATGCCCAAAGAGCTCAACGCTCCATCACAAGATCCTCAACTAACAATACTCCCACTTCTTCTACTTCTTCCACTTCTAGTCTAGTAAGTCACAACACTAACAAATCTCTTTCACGAATTCTAAGTTACGAAATCATTTGAAATTTTAAATTTTCAGAATGGCACCAATCAAACCTCTCCAGCCTCAACGACTACTTCTGCGGCTTCTTCCACTTCTGCTGCCACGTCACCACAAAACTAGATTACGTCATTCTTTCTTCCAATTAGGCAACAATAATTTCTTTCGTTATCTCTCTCCTTTTTCTCAGTCTTCCTTCCTGTCTGACTCCGTTCAAAGCTCTGCTCGCAATGCTTTTGTATGCATCCCTATGATCTCTTTTTGCCTCTTTTCCAACCCCTTTGAAACTTTCGACACACCCATCATCTTTACTCTAAATTGGTCCCAATTTTCCGGTGAAATTTCATTATTTTTAAGAGAATTTCCAAATGCAAATGTTATCTCTGATTTTCAACTTTGGGGTTTTAATAATTTTTTCTAGACATCTGGAAATTACAGTGTTCCACTTTTTTAGACCAACTCCTTTATCACTTCCATTCTTTTTGTTCAACCCCCGTCAGTATACGCAACCGGAAAAATAAGAAAACAAAAAGCACAGAAAGAATTCCCACGAAAGCTTTCATTTTCTAAAAAAACGTTTTCATTTATTGAATAAAGCTTTGAACAGAAATATGTACCCAGAAAAAAACCACAATTGAAATTCAAAGAATTCAAAAGGTACCCATAATGCTAGGAAGATGGATGAAACGAAGATATCTTGGACCGATGCACAAATATTGTCCCGGTTCTGGTATTCGATTTGTTCTTCCGGCACCACTGCAGATGAATTTCCGTATGAAAATACAGCATGACGCTTCTGAAAGTTCCCGGAAATGCCTTATCACTCTGACATGTTCAACCAACGTCCACTCACCCATCAAGTGCGTGAATTAGGAGAAAACTGACGGACAGAAAAATGAACTGATACCATATTGCTGAATTGAGTTTGAAGAGTATTGTACAGTTGATCATGTCGATCAAATGAAGTGTGTCCTGCATTACGCTCTGGAAAATGAGAATGGTGGGGTGATTCCGAAGGAAATGTAACATGCGGAACTTTTTTATATGGCTTTTTGTGTAGTAAACAATTTTGGTCAAGAGCATGGTCATCAGAAAAATACTGATTATATTTTTAAAGAACAAACAGAGAGAGGAATAAAACATGTTCAAAAGGTTTTCTAATCATTAGAGAACCCTTCATTTTCGCGCACTAATCTTGCTTTCAGTGATGTGAGTGAACTTTAAAATATTTCTTAACTACCGTAACACCTGCATTAGAAGGGTCTCTTTAAAAGAAGGGCTCCATCTTATATTGATGCTTCTTTTGAATTGTAAAACAACGTTTCCATACGCTTTCAGTAAAAAGTATATAGGAAATTCTACAATTTTACAAAAATTTATTGGAATTTTGGTGAAGTTGATGGATTTCCATAAGTTTTGAACGAGAATTCACCGATCTTTTAAAATGAAATACCGTTAAAACTGTATTAGAAGGGGTGTTTCTCGTATTATTCCAAGGTACCTTCGGAGGACCTTTCTATTAGAGGAGTCCTTCTATTAAAAGGCTCCCTTCTAATACAGGTTTTACGGTGATACGAATTCTCCAAAACACATTTACCTGAATGTACATACTGATTCTTCTCTTCCTTCTACTAATACTATCTCCAGATGACACTCCTTGTACCTGAAAATAAATCCAACACCTTTATTTTGATCTGAACTTGACAAAACGTCATATCAGAAGTCATATATTTCAAAACTCACTCGACTAGAAACTAGTTTCAAGAAGGTGGCAAAATTGAGTGAATTTGAAGTGATTGATAGGCTAAGAATCGAGTAGAAAATGAAATCAGCCAGCCAGAGGGCACACTCAAAGTCCTCGGGACGCCATGAAAGTATGCTTGGGTCGAATACGAATCCACATTCGTCTGAAATATTTCCACTGATTTCATTTTGCCCCCTCAATTTATTTTTAGTGCCTTGATATTTCTGCAGCGTTAGAGTCAAGCCAAAACTTTGATACATCATGTCATGTACAGGGTGGCCGATAAGTATAGGACGTTTTGAAAGTGCTCCCATTTTTTCAATTTGAGGATTTTTCGAGAACAACCTTTATTAAACAACAAAAAATAAGCAGAAAATTTGATTTTACAAGAGAAATTCGAAGTTGGATCCACGAGCTTTGACACAGGCTCTCAAACGTTTCTTCACCGAATTGACAGTGCGCCGCAGGTATCCGTAGTCGATCGAAGCCCATGCTACCTCGAGAGCGGCCTTCAAGTCATCGACAGTAGCAAAAACTTTTCCCGCGATCTTCCCTTCCAACATGCCCCAAACGCTGAAATCCATCGGATTGAGATCCGGGCTGGAAGCAGGCCACAAGTTCTTGTCCAGGAATCCAGGGAAATGCGCCTCCAAGACGGCCAATGTCGATCTCGAGCCATGGGACGGTGCCCAGTCTTGTTGAAGGATAAATGGACCACCAGCAAAGTGCTGAGTGACCCAGGGTAACAAATTATCCATCAACACAATCTTTTGGTACACCTCCGAGTTGATTTTCACATTTCTTTCAATGAAAACCAACGGAGTTTTACCGGTTGCCGTGATACCGGCCCAAACCATGACACTTTTCGGGAAAAGGCGGTTATGGGCAAGACGACGTTTCGGAGACATGCTGTCATCCTTTGACAATAACTGTCTCTGGTTTTGACGGTTGGGAAGAGGTTCAATAGTGAAGATCTTCTCGTCTGTCCAGATAACGTCAGAGACGCGGCGCACTTGAAAGTGCTGGAGTAATTTTCGGCATTTTTCGAGTCGCATCGCTTTCGATTTGTCCGAGAGGTACTGTCCACGACGTAGTTTGTAACTTTTGAGCTTCAAGTCGTTCTTGACAATCGATTGGACAGTGGATCGGGCAATTCCAAGCTGTGACGCCATCCTATTGAGACTCAATCCATCATTTTGAATGATCCGTTTCTTGATGATTGCACGAGTATTCCGGGTGTTGACAGAACGTGGACGTCCGCTTTTTTTTACTTCAGAAGCATCTCCTCGCTTTTTGATAGCAGCGACAACGTTTCGAACCGTCGAAGACGAAATTTGAAGGCGTCGAGCGATCTCAGCACTTCCGAGGCCTCTCTTGAACAAGAGTTCAATGGAAGGACGATGAGGAGAACTTTTCATAGCTCGGCGATATGGAGAAGTGAGAACAAATGACTGAGAAGCTTACTTATATAGTCTCTGGACTTTCGAAAAGTTTCGAAATTTTTCGAAAATATCCCTTGGCACCGTGCCAGGGAACGCTGAAAGCGAGCGTCCTATACTTATCGGCCACCCTGTATATTTATCTTAATGGCTCAGATTTAATTATAATATTAATTGTTGAATAAACTTTTCATAGATCACACACTCCACTTGACCATCAAACATTCTCACCTGGAAATCCAATTACAGTGTAGACAACAGCAATGCACAATGCCAAAATTATCGCAATATTTGTGATTGGAAATCTGGATACTTTCATCGAGGAAAGCGGGAAATAAAGAACATAAAACCGATTGAAAGACATACAAACTTGGAGCAATGGACCTGGAAATATAAAACAATTAGAATTGGGATCAAAGGGTTTAATCTTTGCTGGTTTTTGGTTTTGTAAAGGAGGTTTTAGCTCTAGGATCTAAAGAACTTTGCTGAAACCAAATTTTGGTGCGAATTTCGATGTTTTCTCATCCCTTCTTTCATTGTAATTAATTTGTTCAGCATCTGAAAACTATTCGTTTCTTCCAGCTGTAATGCTAACCAGGTTTTCGAATAACAAGTATGATTCATAAGTATCTATGAAATTTAAAGCAATTGTTAGGCAAATATCTATAGTATTATTGCTAAAAGTCGTCAACTGGAGAGGTTCGATAATTTTCGGCTTTTTTCTGACACCAAAATCTCGTTTAGAACCAAATTTTTAAATAATTATAGGCTGAATTACAAAAAAATTACCCAAAATGTAAGCTCCCCATCCAGCTACTTGTCCAAAGCCGACGTTCAAACTTCTTGGAATCGTTTCATATTTTTTCTGTCTGAAAACACTTTGTTACATTTGAACTGAAATTTTCATAAACATACAGTGCACATAATGGAGTAGACCAAACCAAAAAGGTCAAGCATACTATAGAATTTGGAATGGATTTTGTTATACACAATTTATGAAATCCACTGAAAGGCCTCTTTCTTGTGGAAAGTTTGAAAAATACATAAACATTGACTAGAAATCCAGGCAAGCTTATCTGGAAAAATAGTAACTTTAGACACTGTAAAACCTGTAATAGAAGGGCCCCTATCTTTTAACTCTGAGCAAATTTATCTCGGTTTCTGTGGAATATATCATGTATCAGAAACACTTTATCAGTTGGTATATTTCCGACATCTTGCATGGGAGCTGAGAAAAATCAGCTCAAGTTTAACAAGGCCCTTCTATTACAGGTTCTACGCTCTTTGCAAAAGTTTAAACCATACCATTCCCAATATCAGAGTAGCAAAAAATGATAAATCGAATATCATGGCTCCCAGAAAAAAAAGAAAAAAATGAGGAAGTGTTAATCACAACTCGAATGCATAAATACACACAAATGAGATGTCTGCACCGCCTGCGCTCTTTTTTTCTCTCTTTTTCAATCAAGCCAAAAATCTGATGACAGAGTCCGTCTAACCAGAAATTCTCCGTTTTCGTTTGGAATTTTCCAAATTTCAGAATGAATCAAGTGTTTTTGTTTTTCTTCCTGTTTCGTTGGAATTTCTCGTGCTTCCCAGAGGAAATAAATTATCTTACCCTGTATTTTTTTGGTTGTGTGTCAGATATTTGAGTTGGCGGTGCTTGAATGAAAACCACCGAATCTGAAAATTAATGGAAAACTCTGTGCCTAAAAGAAAACTAAATTTTATTTCAGTTTGAGGTCAAGGGGTTTAGACCAATTCAGAGAATAAAAAAAATCGAAGATGAAACTTTTGAAAAAGAAATCATTGAAAAATATCGTCAACGAAAGCAATGGTGCATTCTTTCGGAAGTTTTGCCAGAAGAGGTCCAAATGAATACAAGTAAATGTCTTTCAACTTTTTCTGCTGAACTTCCACAACTCCCAAAAGTCCAATAAGTTCCACATATCTAGCTGGTCCGCAGTTTTTATTCCGAAGACAATAGTCAAAAAGGATTTTAGAGGTCCGACATCGTTCTTTGTCCAAAAGTACTTGAGCAGATTTGGACAAACCGGAAATGACTGAAAATTAGTGTTTTGCATAGTGCGTCTTATGTCACAAATGATATACAGAGTGTTCAACGAACCGAACAAGGTTATAATCTATATTGAACATCGAAACTTCGAATTTCTGATTTTTGATTTTGATATCAGAAAATGGCAAGTTTAAGCATAAACTTCAAATTTCTGAGGCTTCATTCTGATAGTGAGACTCACCTGGATTACAAACAAACAACAATTTCAACAGCAAAGACTCTTCATTTTGAATTTTCAACCGATACATTGGATCGACAAGCATGGAGACTATTTTATAATCTGGCATTCTGAAAATGACAATTTTTAGAATACATTAAAACTATGGCTTACGTATTGTGTGGGTGTTGTGATCCATCGGGTTGAGTTAAATATTGACAACTCCTTTGAATTGTAAAATAAGATATATGAAAAAGCGTTATCCCAACTACGGCGTGTCTAATCAAAAGCAACTGATCCTGAAGGTCCAGACTGTCGAAGAACCAGAATGTTCGAACGTATTCTGTTAAAGTGAGCAAATTGAAAAACCACCAGTGTTTGCTACAAAAACACCGATGACGTAATGTCAACTCTTAATAAATTACCTTTTTGGATAGTAAGTTTGAAAATAATTATGTTTCAGCGGAACACGGGAATCACTCTTGATAGGCCAACCAGTAATCTCCTGAAACGTCTTCAGTAGTTTATAAATGTTTTCTTTAGTTACCCCATAGCTGTCTGCCATACTTAGCTTATTGGTACTGCTAAGCAAACTCTGAAGTTTGTCGATTTCCTTCCAGTCAGGATTGTAGGAGCATTTTCGGAATTTCTCTACTTTTGATTCCAAATGCAGCAGCATTCCAACAACGTCATGGATTAAATTTTCAGTAGTTTTGAAACTATTTTCTTCACAGTTTGGTGCAGTAGTTCGGGCCTGGAAGTTTAATGCCAACGGGTTCATACCAACGAAAATGCACTTCTGAAATCGGCAAGGCCGACAACGGAACAGAGGTTCTCCTGAAAAAAATGTTATGGATCACATAACTTTCAGAATAACTCACTTCTCTTGGTTAAATCATAGCAATCTTTTCTCAAAACGCATTTTGCTTCTTCTCCGGATAGCAATTGCCGGCGGAAGAATGTTTTACATCCCTTACATGTGGCAACATCACAATGAAATCCATGTGCGGTCCGATTACAGATCATACATTTTTCCGGTAGAGTGGATGAAGATGAAGACGGTTTGAAATGAGATAGTTCCATAGAGAGAAATCAAGGAAATAAGTTTATCGTCCAGCTGATGAGAGGGCAGTCCCGAGGAATTCCCCCAATTGTACAGATGGCCTTGGCCAGTCAATTGGTGTCTAATTTGGCCTCGGATGTACGTACTTTCATCTAGAAGATTAGTTTGATTAGTTTTAGACATCGGAGATGTATTAGAAGGATTAAAAAAGGTTTACTACGAATACATAATCTCATCCAAAAACTGGACAGAAAATGGAAATTTAGAGATAATTGGCGAAATATGATAAATATGAATATCCTTTTGCAGTCTTTGTTGGCGAACTAAAACTGAAATGATTTCAAGAAGTTCCACGAATCTACTCGGTCCATATGATCGATTTCTTAGACAATGATCTAAAAGGACATCCGAAAACTGCTGGCGCTCTTTTGCGATAATAGTTTGTCCATGTTCCGATAATCCATGTACAGCTGAAAAATCAATTTAAACAGTAGTTTTGTGAATGAAATCTTACTAGGATTGCATAGGCTAATTGCTTTGAGTAAGATGTATTCAATCAGTTGAATATCACATCGAATCAAAGGAGCAAGTGCCATTGAAACAACCGGGTAATGGTACTCGCTGAAAACAACATTATTTAAAACTATACCCGTTTTTTGCAAGCCTACTCTCTTTGCGGTTGCTCCGTCCCATCCGGATGCACACACTTTTCCATTTTTCTTGACACCGCATAGTACGAATTATGAAGATTCATACAAAGAAGCGTGTTTTGTCCAATCAGAACTAATTGATCGTTCAAGTCCAGTTTTTGGAAAAACTTGAACGTCTTAGCGTATTCAATAAATGTCATCATATTGAAGAACATCCACATTTTTCTGAAAATGAGGTTATGTTAACTGTGCATTTTTGCAAATTCGTTTTACTGATTGGCTGGGGATGGTACTGGCCGAGCAGTCGATCCACTGTACTTCATGTCTATGTCGGGAACATCTCGCATTCTCGATACCTTCGGAAGTTCCATTTTCCTATTGATAGGCCATCCGCTCATTGGCTACAATTTAAGAGATACTGTCATTTTTAACTAAAAAAAGGTACCCCAAGATGATCGGCTAAACTTAATTTGTTTTCTCTGGTGACAAGTTCTTCGGTTGTTTTCATCCAGTCTATAATCGATGGGTTGTAGGCAGAGTTCTTGAATTGATCTATTTTCAATTCCAGGTAACATAACATGTCGATGATATTCTTGCTTAAATTCTCTTTAGAGATTATGGTTTGTATTGTTGGGATTTTTTCTTTTTCAAGCTCAGCGAGCTTCTTGAAGTTCAGCGCTTCTTTCTCCGTTTCATTTAATTCCAGGGCCTTTGAATTCATTCCAACCTCGATGCACTTTTTGAAACGACAAGATTGGCATCGCAACTGAAGCTGCACTGAAAAGTGAAATGATAAATATAGTCATCGAACAGTTAACTTACTTCTTTTGGAAGAATCAAAACAATCATTGAACAGCTGGCACTTCAAAACTGAATCAGAAACACAAATTCTTCGAAAAAATGTTTTACATCCCTTGCAGGATGCCACCCCATAGTGATGTCCATGGGCAGGACGGCGACAAATTTTACAGACTGATGGGCCTGTCTCTATAAACTTCTCATTCCAAGGAAAATTATAATATTAGGTTGGCGGGAAAGTCTTTGTCACTCTGTTTGTTTAATCACTGTTCTCGTATATGGAGGCTGTGTATGATATCGACTCTAGTGAATAACAAGGTGATAAGAACCTTCCATATAAACAAGTCCCCATTTCCTTCCCTGCTCCTCATCTGTAATTGAAACGATATGTTTGTTCCCACTGCAATTCACATCAGACATGTTTTGATTTACCTCTTCCTATCTCACACCACGATGAAGGATTCGGAAACTTTCTTGAAGAATGTGTACAACACACATGCCCCTCACTACAATACTATTCGCAATTGGTTCCATCGTTTCGAAAAAGATGACTTCTCGCTCGATGAAAAGGATCGCTCTGGGAGACCCCGTGAGTTGGATTTGGACAAGCTGAAGCACGCATTGCAATCGGATCCATTTCAATCTAGCCGTGAACTAGCTGTCACATTCGGAGTTCACCATAGCACAGTCCTTGAAGGTTTGAAGTCTCTTGGAATGAGAAAACTTTTTGGTCGATTCATACCTCATCACCTGACTCAAGCCAACCTTGACCGCCGAGTCGACGATTCGATTACTCTTCTCACTCTCCACGCGGGCGATCGATGGCTGGACCGGCTAATAACCGGAGATGAGAAGTGGGTCTTCTACGATAATCACCACAGGAAATCCCAGTGGGTTGGAGAAGGAGAGAGCCCACAGGATGTCCCCAAACCCGACCTTTATCCGAAAAAAGTTATGCTCTCTGTGTGGTGGGGAGTGGACGGCCCCATCTACTGGGAACTTCTGCCCGAGGGCAAAACAATAACTGGAGACCTCTACACTACTCAACTACGAAACCTCAAGAAAGCAGTCGACCGTTCGGCCCTGAAAGACAAGAAAGTGTACTATCAACATGATAACGCTCGCCCACATGTTTCGAAACAAGTGAAGCAGGAGCTGATGGGATATGGATGGAATGTTCTCCCTCACCCCCCGTATTCTCCTGATCTTGCTCCTTCCGACTATTGGTTATTTGGCGATATGACACGTGCCTTCGAAGGAAGAATTCAATTCCCGTGGAGCGGTCGAAGCGGCACTCAATCAATACTTTGCCTCACGCCCGGCTGGATTCTACCGCAATAGAATCCATAAATTGAGGGAACGTTGGAGACATGTTGTTGATAATGATGGACAATATAATTAATTATTCGGTTATTTTTTCTTTGAGAAATAAACTATTGAAAAAGTGACAAAGACTTTCCCGCCAACCTAATACATCATCTCACCATTTGAGATCCTTCACTGCTTGTTTTAGAAGTATGTAACTCTTCCATATTTGATAATTAAAAATTATTATCCTGAATCGAATTCCTGATCAAGTTCAAAAAGGAAGATGTTCTACGGTTCTCGCAGACTTTCAATGTCAATTGCCACAAATTATTTAATGGGGTGTAGACCGAGAGGTCATAAGACAGAATAGTGTAGGGGGCAAGAGAGTACAATTGATACTTTTGAAAAATTCATTAACAAAAAATTGGGTTGCCGAATCGACGGAAATTTCAAATTCTGTTAAATTGAATCGAATGAAATTCAAGAGCAATTCCGGTAAGTGTTTCAATTCCATCTGATAGTGAGCAGTTTAATGACTCGAAAATTTAATTAGCTGGGCGAATACATGTTCCGTGAATTCGAGTTCCATTTTTATTATAGATCACAATACAATATTATGTCCTACTTTTAAAACAAATTGTTTTTTGTAGCTAACTAGACTGTAGCCCGATAGATTTGCAATGCGTGTTATCGTAGTTTGTAGTGGCGACCGCAGTCTTCGAAAAATTCGTGATAGACAATAGATGGATTGACCATGAAACATGACCATGAAAATGTAGATGTTCTTGACTGATTGTATTTCATTCATTAAAAAAAAATCGAAAAACTTCAATCAGGAAAGTGTTCCTAGTGAAAAAATTTCATCCACAAATCCGATTGTCTTTCTGAACGTTGGTGATATAAAAGGTGCAATACTCAGTGTGTATGAAGCTCTTTGCATATTCTGTTGGCTCTCCAAGACGCTGAAGATACCCAAAAGTTCAGCAAGTCTTGATGGTCCGTTTTTTGTGTTTCGAAGACAATGATCAAAAAGAACATTCACAATTCGACAACGGTCGTTTGTCAGAATCACTTGAGCATTGTAGGATAGGTCAGGTACTGCTGAAATGAGTAAGGGGAATGCTAGTACACCTCAAAAGTTGTCAGCAACAATATCATACGGGCCGGGCCGGGCCGGGCTTTTTCCGGAATTTCGGAGGCCCGGCCCGGCGGGCCCGTCATTTCACTAGTTTCGAAATTTTCAAAAAAACACATAAGGGGGACCCTTATGTGATTTTTTTCGACCAAAAATTTTTTTTTCGAGTTTTTCGATCTTTTTTGATCAGACAGACAAACAATCAGAAATACGAAAAAAAATGGAAAAAAATTATAATGAGAGCTCAAAATTTGGCTCAAAAATACAGAATTTTTGACACCGGGCCCGGGCCTTGAAAATTTCCTCAGGCCCGGGCCCGGGCTTTGGCGGGCCGGCCCGGAATTTTACAAGTATGGTTCGAGGATCATGTCCTCCGTTGTCGATTTCATCACCCTAACAAGATCGTTATCCAGTAGGAGAACGCTTTCCGTCGCCTCAGCTGATCCATTTAGCATGGTTCCGACTCTTAAAAATCGAAATTCGCTATGGCTAGCCATTTTTTTTTGAGTCGGAATTTTACGGAGAACGTGTAGGGGGAGTTTTTACCACCATTGCAGAAAGTACAGAACCTGTGGGGTGGTCAGGAATGCGATCGATGCCGAATGGTCCGATTCGGAGCAAATGATCAGTTCAGGACCACCAGCACATTCCAAATTTTCTTCGGTTCATGTCAAACCGTACCTTTGATGTTATTACATGGTATTATAAATAAAAGCATCAAATGTATGTAATTTAAACCGTACCTTTGATGTTATTACATCAAATGAGGCTGCCATCAAATAACAAATTTCCTCTTTTCCTTGTTTTTTGGAGGTGACCGTATAAATATGGAACGCTTGCAGAGAGCCATTTTTCAGTCAGGGGAGCCTAATTTTGCCAGTTTTGCTGGTATTATAAATAAAAGTATCAAATGTATGTAATTTGAGGTCCTGAATCCGATTTTTACTCACCAAATACCTATTTTCATCCGTTCTCCTGTTATACTCCAAAATTAGGATGACCGTATAAATGTGAAACACACTGTATTGATACAGCTTCGGATCATAATGCCTGTCGCGTTTACCACAACGTCAGGCTGTTTCACCGCATCAGGGATCCCGAAATTCCCTTCAAAAAGGAAGAAACATGTTAACTGAAAACTAACTGGACGATCTAGTTTCCAGCATATCAAATGAGTTGGCCAAAGTGTTTCTAAATACTATCCATGAGGAATCTAATTGATTTCTTTAGTATACCTGCTTTTTTTGTAGTTGATTCCAGCTTTTGAATGATGATTTAGGTCAATTTTGCTCATCGAGTTGAAAATTAGGTCACGTGCAGCAGAAAAATGTAAAAATTCTCAGTGAAGTTCAGAAACATCTTGGTAGTACAAAAACCAAGATCACATATGAAAATTTCGGGCATTGACCCACTTTTGGATCAAAATTCTGACACGAAAAGTGAAATTCCGTCAAAAGAGGTATCTGTACCAAATTTTGGCTCCCGGGGTATTTTTGGATTTAAAAACGAATGGTGATTACAGATTTTCGATATCTCTGTTTTCTCAGCACCGTGAAAAAAGAGGGGGGGGGGGTCCTAAAGATATTGAACGCACTGTATCACACGTTTTACAGTTATTTTTTAGTTTCTCGGATAATAGTACTTTGTGATTTACTAGCGCGTTCTGTTTTCCGTTTTTTGTTTGATAATCACTATTATTTTTGATTTCTCGATCTAGAATTCATATCTCATTATCAGTTGTTATCCCTTGAGATTGCACGCTGAAAAGTGTATGTCTGGAAGTAGTTTGATGAACCACTAGTAACATAAATTATTTCATACTTTCAAAGTAACTGACTAGACGGGTTTTAGTAGTATGTAGTGTTGACAATAAATCGAAAAAAAAACCCACAAGCCATTAGTCAGACAACCCAGTAATTTCGGCTATTATAATTATGCTTTTTTTCAGAGATCCGTATTGACAAAAAACTGAGAACTTGAAAAACACAACTCGTCATTCCCCTATAAAATGGCTATTTGGATATTTTACGGTCCTTTTTCACTGCTTCTGAGTCTCATTTTATTTGTTCTTTTGATTTATAATCAGAAGTTCAAATCATTATTCTATAGATTTGTTCAGTTCGATATGCTTGTTGTAAGTTCTATTTTGTCATAGAAAAACTTTATTGAAAAGTTACAGAATATAGTGATCTATATCAACTTTTCGTCTTACAAACTTATAAAAAGTGATGTTTTGAGAGAAGAAATTTTAGCATTTTTCGAGGAACATTGTATTATCGACGCCATTAGATCCTTCATATATGACTGGTCCTATCATATTCAAAGCTCTAGTTTATTGCTAAAATGTATTTTCAGATATACTTTAGCAAAATATCCAAATGCTCCAGAGGTATCTCGCTTGCTCATTATTTTCTTCAGATGTTTCTTTTCAGGTTTGGAAACTTTACTTCTCGCTGATAATGACAGGAATGATAATTTATAGTTTATTAATCACAATTCCATACCGTTTTCTATCGGTTCATCAACCGAAACCGAATTTTTATTCAATTTTTATGAATATCGAAACTTCGTTTTATTTTATTATAACTCTTTCAATTGGTTACTGTACGCAGAGAGTTCTAAAATATCGATCAGCTCAATTCACAAACAGTATCAGTAAAATGAATAGCTATTTAATTTTTGATTTATCAATTCATAGAATTGTATTTGTGGGAGTTTTGTTTCCGTCGTTAGCACTTTACAATTCTGAGAAGTTCTTCAGTGACTATATCGCCCTGCTTTTGGTTGACTTGGTGGGTTGAAAATTAATCGACAAATAATTCGGAGGGTAAAAAAATTTGGGGTCGTTGGGTAAAAAAACAATTTGGGGTTACGAAATCCTCGTTTTGGGGGCAATATGTGCCAAGTTAATCTCAACCACGAATCAAATTTTCTAAAAATAATTTCAGGTCGCATTAACTCCTCCCTATATTCTGATAATCTGTGATAACAATATTCGTGACTTAATTCGATGTCGTCGTAGAAAAAAAGTGGTTCATGTGCTACCAAGTGATATGAATTCAACGATGAAGTAGTCTAAATCTTACTACAGCATTCATTAAATTTAGTTTGTTATTCTTCAACAGGGTCCAGTAATAAAAATGTTGTTTTCATTCGCTCACCGTATAAGAAAAAAGATATTTCAAATTTTTTTAAAATGCGCCTTTTTTTACGAATACCGTAAAACCTCTAATAGAACGACACCCGGAACGTCCACTTTGAGCCTATATATCTCACTTCTTTTGAAAGGTATCAAAAAGTGGTTAACTAGTAAAATGTTTATCAGGATATCAGCAACATTTTACTAGTTAGCCG